CATTTTGTATTTATATATACAAAATAGTTAGGATAAATTTACAGCTACTTTCACTTAGCTCAATGAGAAGAAAGAGGTGTACTAACAGTGTTTGGACCGAATATCCTGTCTGCTTCTTGTACTATGGATAACCACTAAGAAGATAACAATGTGCGGTGTATTGGCTATCAAAACTGTCCTATTAGCTGTGAAACTGTCTCATATTTATTTCTCAATAAAAAAAATATATATATATGGCTAGTGTGGGTGTCCACAAGAAAAATTTATCGCAGGCAACATTTCTCACACCTACGTGGCCAGGGAATTTTTTCCCGTGGAGCAGCTCTTCAACTGGTGTTGTGTGGGATGTGCATTGGGAAATAGAGGATTAGGATCGTTGAACTCCTCTCCTGTTACACAGTGCCAAGAGATGGAAACTGGGGAGATGATTCTTAAATGATAATATCTTCTTTCTTCCTTTTATCGCTATAAAAATTAAAAGTCATTACTAGACCAGTGTGCCGTGCCGACCCTGCCCCCGGGGAGTGCTGAGAGGGCGATTGAGACTGGGCATGATAGCGGTGCCTGTAATCCCAGCGCTTGGGAGGCTGAAAACAGGAGAATCATTATGAGTCCAATCTACGGAGTGAGACCCTATACACCCTGTACTAAATACATTTTAAAAAAGTAATTAGTAGATTAAGTTTAGCTTTGAAAATAGGAATAAGTCACCCAACTTTCACCACTTTAAGGTGTTCCTCTATGTCTTTTCTGAATCTATACATCTCCAAGTGTCTATCCATAGGGATAGCCATATATCACTTAAGACATTCAGACCTGGGATAAACATGTTGCGTATGTCCTCTCATTGAATCCTCACAGCAACTCTGGAAGCTAGCAAATACACTTGCCATATGAGACACTAGGAAACCGAGGCTCAGAGAGGCCATGCCTCATCTCAAAGTTCCGCAGCCAGTAGGTGACTGAGAAATGAAACACAGCTACTCCTGGCTCCATACACTATGTGTTCAAGCTCTGATGAGCTGAAGTACTTATTTTAGAACCTGGAGGGGCTGGTGAGATGGTTCAGTGGTCTAAAGCACCTACTTAGAACAAGTTAAACTAAGCAAAACACAGGGACCGTGGTTCAATCCCCCAGCACCACATGCCAGCCAGCCCCGCCCCCTGGTGGGCTGAGCTGGCCACACACACACACAAAATAAATAAATAAATATTTAGAACCTGGAGAATAAAAATGTATCTTGAATTTACTACCAGAGAGTTGACGTCTCCTCTTGGATCATCACGCAGCTCAGTTGTCTGTTGAGTGACCAAAGAGCATTCCGAAACCTTTGCAGCTCTTTTTTTGTTCCCACCGCCCACCCTGGACTTCAAGTGGGGGTCACAGGGCTCTGCAGAGCATAACTCTAACTGCAGGACCATGTTGTTTTCGGTTTTATGTCTCTGTGATCTCTAATGTTGTAAGTACATTCAGAAATGATTGTGGCTTTTTCCTGAAGCCTCAACATTTCAAAAAGTGATTTGTTTTGGTTGTGCTTTCGCCTCATGATTTCAAATATTAGGTTACTTGGTTCAGGTGGTCTTATATTTCCCCCATAAATGTGTTTATGTCACCCCACAGACTTGAAGTTTAATTTCTAGGGTTATTTTTTCTTTTATTTCTTCATTTGATTTTTTCTGCAGGAGAAGAACTGAATTCTTTGAACTTGTCAGTAAAGGAGAATATGATTGGAACATCCAAAACCATCGTGATGTATTTCGGTAAGAAAAAGTTCTTGTTTGTGTTTTTATTTTCATTTTTATTTGAACACTCAGCTGCATTTTTCTGACAGTTCTAAGAGCATAGCAGTGATTTTTGAAGTAACAAGTCTTAGTCTACATTTACAACATCCCAAAAATTAGTTGAATAACTAGAGGCAAGATAAAAATGTCTCTTTTTGTCTTATAATTTGTTATATTTTTACCTTCTTTCAATAAACCTGCCTTCAGAATAAGACAGTGTTGTCCAGATTAACTCAGTTTCAAGCAGCTATGATTTCTTCATTTTCCTGGGGTCAGGAAAGAGTATGAAGCTGGTGTTGAACTTACTATATAGCCCAGGCTGGCCTCGAACTTGTGGCAATCCCCCTGTCGCAGGCTCCTGAGGGATTACAGAAATGTGCCACCATGCCTGATGGAAAGAGATTTCTTAACCGAGAATTCATTGTTACCCAAGCACAAAGAAAAGTGGGGCATTAATTCTATTTTTCTTTAGAGACAATAGACTCTGGGAATAGCAAACCAATTGGATTTTTGTTTTGTTTCATTTTGTTTTTTAATTGAACTCAGGCCCTTGCACTTGCCAGGGAAGTGCTTATTCCACTGAGCCATCTCCCCAGCCCCCCATTTGGAATTATTTTGACAATGGAAGTAATGAGTCTGTTCTAAACTTCATATGGCACTTGTTTAGACAGGCCAGCAGCAAAGCATAGTTGTCACAGGGCACCTTCCATAGCCCTCCAGAATCCCAGGCTCCATTCCTCCTCATTTCACCCCTCCCCCTTCTGCCTCACAGGCCTACCTCACAGGTTCACCTCACTGGCCCACCTCACAGGCCCATCTCAAAGGCCCACCTCACTGGCCCACCTCACAGGCCCACCTCACTGACCTACCTCACTGGCCCATCTCACAGGCCCACCTCACTAACCCACCACACAGGCCCACCTCACTGACCCACCTCACTGGCCCACCTCCACAGACCCACCTCACTGGCCCACCTCACAGACCCACATCACTGACCCACCTCACTGGCCCATCTCATAGGCCCACCTCACTGGCTCACCTCACTGGCTCACCTCACTGGCCCACCTCACTGGCTCACCTCACTGGCCCACCTCACTGGCTCACCTCACTGGCCCACCTCACAGGCCCACCTCACAGGCCCAGACCTGCTGACTCAGTTTTTTACTCTCACACTGCCAGGGTTACTGAGAGGTTTGTGAGACTAGGGTTAGAGCACTCAGTGTCTGCAGGACAGCCAGACAGCCACTGGACTCTCTCTAAGATGAAGTCCCCTCACAGTCCCCATATCTGCTATGTAAAACATCTATACCAACCTGAAACATGGGGCTTTGCTGTGCTTCCCGTCCACTCTCGCCTCACTCATCATTGACCGAGGTCCTCTCACCAAAGCACCTTAGACATCTGCCTCTCCTCTCTAATATTGCTTTCCTTCACCCCAGGAGTGGGGGAGGGGAGCGCAACCTTCTTTTCTTCAAGACCTCCACCTCCACCACGCCCTAATTCCATGGCCTCAACTACCCAGACATTCCTTTAACCCCTCTGTATCAATTATTGGTTTGGCTTCCATTTTCAAAATCCAGTTTTTAGGCCCTTATGACCTTTCTAGACTTAAAAACAAGTTTCTACTTCCTTAAGCAACACATCATCCCTGAAACTACCCTTCCCCAGGTGCCATTTTGGTTCTCTCCCTCACTTCACTTAGCATACCCATCTTCATGCAAAGGAGTTTTTATATAATTTTTGGGTAATAAAAATAATGGGTGATAATATAATGGGTGATAATATAATGGGTAATAATATAATGAAATAAATCATTGGGGCTATATTCCCAATCTCCTTCGCACTTCACCCTCAATTCTTAGAAGGGTTGCACAGCCAACCTTTCCTATCAATGTACTGTGTCTTTCCAGATGTTTGCTGAAGTGTTTACATGTCTGTGTTCCCTTAGGAGAAATATCATTTAGAGTAAAATAGTTTTTGTTCATCTGAACATTGAGCATATATTTAAATGACAACCTGTGCTTGCTTTTCCACTTAACCATGTGCCTGGTAGTTTTTCTCATGTCCCTACCTCACTGTTTTTCTCATCGCATAGTAATTCAGGTATGGAGTGACCACAGAGTGTTTATCCATTCCTCCACTGAGGAATTAAGCCTGTGTCACATGATTTCTGCTTGTGAAAGTCACTGATAACCTCCCAGTAGCAAACACTACAGTCTTTGTTCTCTTTAGCCTTCTCAGTCGTGTTATGGTCCTTAATTACATTGACCTGGCCTTTTTTAGCTGTCCCTTAAGCCTTAGTGTCTGCAAAGCCAAGCTGTCCTAGAATTTCTGCTTCTTCCAGAATGCTCCTTCCCTGCTTTGTCCCTCTGGTCCTTCTTCACCTCTCTGCAGGCAACAGTCCCCAAAGGTCCTACATTCAGTTCTCTTTGCCTGATCCTCAGCAGCCTCATCATCTTCTCAACAACTTCCACCTTGTGTCCTGCCCCTGGTCTCTCTCATGGGATCAACTACTAAAATGCCAGTTCATGCTGTGTTTCCACCTGGGTGTTTTCCTGCAGAGGTTTTCCAGATTTTTGGCAGAGAACCCTCTCAGGAAGAACTGTTTCACTTGGAAACACAGAATATAAAAATAGATCTGTATAAAAATAGCTCAGTAGGGCTGGCCAGATAGCTCAGTGGACTAAAATGCCTGCTTAGGCAGACTCAGGAACTGGGGCTCAGTCCCTGGCCTGATGTGCTGGCCCTGCCCTAGGGCAAGTGGAGACAGTGATTAAGACTGGGCGTCGTGGCATGCACCTGTAATCCCAGCACTTGGGAGGCTGAAAACAGGAGGATCAGTAGGAGTCTGATCTGTGTAGTGAGACCCTATAGGCCCTATACTAAATACATTTTAAAAAAAATAATAATAATAGAGCTGTGCCCAGCGCTCTCCTATGCCGCCAGATCTGGCCTCGCAGCCTCCTTTGTTCATGGTGAGACTCTGACCATGCGTAGCACCAAGGGCAGAGCTCAGAGGAGCACTGTCTGTAGAGAAGCGAAGAATAGTGATAAGACCAGCCAAAAGTCAGCTTGCTGTTTATCACTGCCATGTGCCAGCAACTCTAGACAAAGTCAGCTATGACCTGCTCCTCCCTGGAGAAAATCTTTTGTTGGTATAAACTCTAAACAATTGCCGAGGTTACTGTTAAGGATCAAATTAATTTTCATGAAAGTTTCAATTTAGCACATGCTTCTTGCTTACCCTTGCACTGAACACATATTGCAAAATAAGCTGAAACTAAGACTGCCCAGGTACCCAGCTGGCCCTGCAAGGTGGGCTCTGTGATGCGTGTTCAAGGATCATTTCTGTTTGGAGGCTTCTAACCCAGTGTGGGTGTAGTTCCCCCCACCCCAGCCTGCAGAACTTCACACCCCTGCTTTCCAAGACATACAGAATAAGCAACGATTGCACCATGCGGGAAAGATGAAGAAGCATAACTTGAGCATTTTATGTTTTGTCATTTCCAATCACCGTTTGTGATTTTTGTTCGTGTTCAAAATTTATAGCAGTGAAACAGCATGCAAACCAAAACGTGTAATTTTTTTGTGGTCAGCACAAATTTCAATTCCTATATGAAATATTTACTGAATTTGGGTATCCTACATCTTTAAAATGAAAGTTTATTCCTTTAAATTGCTCTAGAAACTCCACATCTTGCAGAGGTAAGATCTAAAAAATATGACAACTGCAGGCATCCTTCCACTCTTCCTCTATAACCTTCCACCCTTTCCCTGCCCTTCCTAGTTTTAGGCTTTTATCAAACCCCTCTCCTTCCTGCTCCTTTCCTTCCCTCCTTCCACTCCTTCAAAGCATCTTCACATCCTCTACCTGTAGTTTTCTTCTTAAAGGTATAACCAGGTCTTGCTTGCATCACCAACTGGATGATTCCCCAGCCCTGACTGACTCCCAAGGGCCTATCAGCCATTCCACTCATCCTACTTCCCTTTCTCTTCCATCCTCCTCTGATAGACTCTCTGTTTCACTGTGGCGTATCCTTTGGAGGATGGATTCTTCTGACTTTATGAATTCTAAGTCTGCCTTTGGCATTTCCTGCTGTATAACTGTGGGAAAGTTACTTAGCCTCTCTGAGCCATCACTTTTGTACCTGTAAAATGGAGATGATAATAGGATCCTTACCTCATATAAAAACTATAGCTGTCACCCTGAAGTACTGAAGTAGCTGCCAAATAAATGTGAGCTGTTAGAATTATTGTTAACCTGAACCCCGAGCAATTACTCAATAAACTTGTTGACCAACCAATTAACTTCCTCAAGGAGACTCTACAGATCTTCTCCCCTCAGGCATGGGTAGAGCCTAAGATGAGAGACCTTGGAGTAGATGGAGACGGAGTCTGGCAAGTTTGGGAGAAATGAAGTCCTGAATCTTTTACTTACCTTAGGAAAATCTCTCTATCTTTCTGATGACTTATTTATATGCAAGAATAATATCACCTGCCTCTGAGGGACATGAGAAGGATTCATTTAGCTAGTGTTAGGAAAGTACTCAGCACAGGAGAAGGCACCCAATGAGCACTGTCCAAAGACTTGGGTTTTGTTTGTTTGTTTTTATATTTTAGGGAAGGGTCTACAGGGTGTTCAGGGTCTCACTATTAGATTGGACTCCTAGTGATCCACTTGTTTACAGCCTCCCAAGAGCTGGGATTACAGGCTTACACTACCACACCCAGTCTTAATTGCCATCTCAGCACACCCTAGGGGTTGGGGGGACTGCGATGGCATGGCAGGCTCAGGGATCCAACTCCCAGCCCCTGCGCCTGCTTGCAGGCACTTTAATCCACTGAGCTATTTGCCCGGCCCCAAAAAACTTGTTATGGAAGTTTAAAACTGAAGAAAAGACTGATGTGTCTCTTTGTATAGCTCTTAACACAGGGATGTTTGGAGTTAGATGTATCTTGAAAGTTGCTCTGACTCAGAGGGTTTCTGATGCTTAGGGCTGCCCAGTTGTGCCCTGAATGGCCTGTTGTTGCCTGGGACTCTGTCGGATTTGCTGGAGGGGTTTCCTGAGGAAACTACACAAACCTCCTGGGAAGACACCCTTCCACCATCTGGGCAGCAGACGTGTCTCTGAGATGAGATCCAGCAGGGTATAAAATGTCAACACCTGACAGCAGGAATGCTCCCTCTGACTCTGGCAACCTCTTTCTCCCAAAAACCATCCTCCAAGATGGGACTTCCCAGCTCGAGCCCTGAATTACTTTTCATCACAAACTGTGCTCTCAGTACAAAGAAAGCAGACCTGGGACAAAGTGTGTGCCTTACTTTTCCTCTTTCCCGTAACGCTGAGTTATAAGCTATATACAATTTGAATTACTCCCGGTGTTTCCAAGGTTCAGTGTGAGTCCTAGTTAAATTTGTTCCTCAGAAATCTGATTGAGATCATTCCTGTGCTTTCTTACGTGCTCAAATTAATGAAAGCTGTAGCCGGGTATGTTTCTTCTTCATAATGCTTATAAAACATGATGGGAGCCAGGTAGTAAACTGGAAGGAAACGGTGTGGCTCTCACCCATAAATCCTAGCTCTGTGGAGCCCATGAAATGAGGGCGCTCCTTATGTGGCATGTGCCTCGCCTCTGATAGGGGTTTTCTTCCATCCCCATCAATCAGCAGTAGGTGGGTAAATAGATTCATCAGCCATGTATATAATGCTCTATACTGATTCCCCTGCTTACAGTTTTTTTTTTTCAGATCACATTGTCCATTATAAATTATTTTAAACAGAGCTTGCGTGGCTCAGGTATAGAGGAAGCTGCGCGTTGCCTTCTGAATTTGCTGCTGGCAAAACAAAAGGGCCACCAGAGGCTGTGTGAGAGCTCTGTCTTTTGAAACAGAGTGGCCGCATGATGGAGATGCCTGACAGGGGAACTATAAACAGTCCTGCCCTTGTTGAGGGAAAGAAGATGTGAGCCGGCTGGCTTCGTTTCCATTTTATTTATTTATGTATCTAGGACGGGTTTGTTTAGGAATGCAACAAAAGATTATTCAGGCAGTTTTGTTCGGTTCTGTTTTTCAGATCAATGTTAATGACAGCCTGTGACCTTGGAGCCGTGACCAAACCGTGGGAGATCTCGAGACAGGCAAGTGGTGATTAATGGCGCAGCTCGGCAGAGGAAGGGCTGGGGGCGGGGCTATTCCCAGAGCCCCGGCTGCAGCGCGAAACCCTCCTCAATTTGCATCAGTATTAACGTGGTGTAAAAGAACAGCGCCAGGCTCAGCCGCAACATGGTTTATTACAGGGCCTTTTCTTCATTGTGCTTCCGCGGAGCAGTAGTATTTCTCACACTAAGATTTTTGGAATGTGCTAAATCTGAATAATATTTTGAACGTTTCTTAAGGCGAGCATTTCAAAGACAGTGTTTTTGAATAATTAATGCCTTAGCGCAAGATCCTGCTTTTCACATCTGAATAATAAAAGTAAATTTTATCTTTTCAGTACAAGTACAGCATAGACATCAGAGGTCTCTGTGGCCAAAGGGTACAGTATTCAATTTAGTTTAAACCCACAAATAATGCCTTTTATACCTGTGAGGTTACTGCCCCCAAACATTAGTTTTACAGCAACAATAGTTTTCAATCAAGTAAGTACCTAACTCAAGACCCTTGATTACTGGTAGTTTTCAGGGATTGGTAGCTCTAAATTTATTCTCTTTTATTTTTGAGAAATCTCATTATGGGGCTCAGGTTGGTCTGGGTCCCAGGGTCCTCCCACCTCAGTCTCTGGAGTACTGAGACTAGTTATAGGGCCAGCTCTATAAGTTTCATGAGGTACCTACTCATAGGGACTGTGGGTTCAGAAACAACAATTCAGTGTCTTAATTCTTGACATTTTAGGAAAAATAACATATGCTTGTATATCAATAAATAACTGAAAGACTGGACGTGGTGGTGTATGCTTGTCATCCCAGCATTTGGGAGGCTGTAAACAGGCAGATCACTATGAGTCTGATCTAGTAGTGAGACCCTAAGCACCCTGTAGACCCTGCCCTAAAATTAAAAAAAAAAAAAAAAAAAAAAAAAAAAAAAAAATGGCCCATTTAAGGGGCCAGGGAGATAGCTCAGTAGAATAAGCACTTGCCTGGCAAGTACAAAGGCCTGAGTTCAATCCCCAGCTCCGCCAAAATAAATAACTGCTTTGTGTTTTGTGTATATTATCTCATTTGATCCTTTAAAAGAAAAATCCTTGGGGCTGGGGAGATGGCTCAGTGGAGTAAGCACTTCCCTGGCAAGCGCAAGGACCTGAGTTCAATCCCCGGTTCCGCAAAAAAAAAAAAGAAAAATCCTTTGGGGCTGGCCATATAGCTCAGTGGACTAAAGCCCCTGCTTAGGGAAGCGCAGGGATCGGGGTTCGATCCCCGGCGTGCCGTGCCAGCCTGCCCCCAGGGTATACTGAGACGGCAACTGATATGGGACATGGTAGCACGCCTGTAATCTCAGCACTTGGGAGGCTGAAAACAGGAGGATCACTATGAGTCTGATCTGTGTAGTGAGACCCTGTAGACCCTGTACTAAATACATTTAAAAAAAAGAAAAAAGAAAAATCCTCTGAAGTAGGTATAGCTAAGAACGGCCATGTAAAAATATCAAGTCCTAATCCCTGAATCCTGCAAACATTACCCTAGGAGGAAAGGGTATCTTTGCGAGTATGATTAAAGCACTGCTAGGGATCCAACAGAGATTATTCTGGATTATCCTCACAGGTCCTAAATCTAATCACTATGTCCTTAAAAGAGAGAACCTGGGATCACATGTTCAGAGAAGAGAAGGCAGTGTAAAAGTAAGGCAGAGATTGGACAGACATGGCCATGAGACAAGGAATACTGGCGTCCATCAGAAACTGCCAGGACCTAGGAACACACTTTCTCTTTAAGCCTCCAGAGAATCCACAGCTACAGTGACACCAGGACATCGGCCCAGGGGACTGATGTAGAACTCCTGGTCCCCAGTATTATGACAGAATACATTCCTGTTGTCTTGGCCACCAAGTTTGTGGTAATTTTTGGTGGTTTTAGAGAATAAGAACAGTTACTCTCCCTGTCTCACCAGTGAAAAAGATGAGACTTAAAAGGATAAGTACCCTGAGGTCCTCTAACCAGTAGGAGGTAGAGCTTAGATAAATCCTAGCACATTAGCTGCCCAGCCTCTGTTCTTTATGACGTTTTGTGCTTTCCTACATAGGAGACATCAATCAGTATTTTTAAATGATGCAAAATGTGTCCATAGAGTAGACTACAATAACGCTAGAACCCAAACCTCAGTGGCTTAAAATACCAATATTAATTGCTCATGAACCTGTGCATGTAGGGTTGGGAGGTTCCTCCTCGTCCTTGTGTTGGACTGGACTGATGGATCACCCCTGTCTGAATCATTCTGACAGAGGATGCAGGTCGTCTTGCACTGACAATTCCATGCCCGCTTCCACAGTTCATTGGTCTGACCTGGTCACATAACCCACTCTGCTGTCATACTGGGTAATCCTTTCACGCACCTAGCAAGCAGAAAGCCAGAGATAGTTGGTGAAATCATCACTACCACAGTTTGCTCATCTAATCCCCAAGCTTGTTCTCCACCAACCTCGCAGACAAAATATACTCATCCTGTAGCCAAAGGGGGGAAAAAAAACCACCAAATGTTCCTTTAGTTGTGGCATCAAACTCAAAACCCAGAATTTCTACCTGCGGTGTGCCCATTTGTACAACAGGTCTGGATGCAAATTAAAGTCCTGCACATATCCATGATAGTGATTAACCACACTGAGAACACAGTGAACACCATTTCTAGCACTCTCTCACTCAGAGGGGAGAAATGAACGACATTTGGTAGGTAGTGGGCCGTGGCAGCTCCAAAGCCCCACTGGCGGCACTGTGAGGGCCCTTCACACTGCGGTGGTCACGATTCCTGGGAGGTACTTCCCACTTCATTATTTTCTAAGGTCTCTGGATTCTCCCTGGGAAATTGCTCCTCTACTGTTATCCTCCTTGGCATTATCTAAAGGTCATGCAGCTTTCTCAGACTGCTGCCCACCCAAAGAAAGCTGAGGGGCCAGGGCTTACTTTACATAGTTATACGCTGGTGGCTTCTTTAGCTTTAAGATGCTCTTAAATGTCATTCAGATTTCTATCTCCAATTCTCATTTCCACTTGCCAATAACCAGAACTATGGTTCTCTTTTATACAAGCACCTTATATTGTCTGTTACTCTTTGCTTCCTTACATTCAAGAATAAAGAAATACAGTAAGCATATTTCTTTCTGTCTGTCTTTGTTTGCATGAGTTACTTTCCAGTATCATGGGTCTCATAGGCTTCACTAAGAAAACCATGTCATTAAATCATTTCTTTGAGCCATTTTTGTCCAATTTAAAAAAATTATGCATTGCCTAGTTATTTAACAGTTTTTAACTGTAGATGTGCAGGCCATACCCTTAATTGTATTCTTATTCAAGATTAAATCTTAATTGACCGCTGTCACTTAAAGCAGACCATAATTTTAATTTTTATGGTTTAGAGTTGAGGTGTAGCTTCACCTTCCAAGTTTACAAGACTTTAAATTTTTCTGTTCTTTTTCAGCCTTAGTTATAAACCTGCTGATCTTTTTCAAAGATCAATTCCAGTAATATGTATATAAACAGTCAATAGAAATCATTGCATGCTGTGAACATTTGTTTTCCAATCTCTTCTCCTAATGCCGTAAATTCATTAAGAACATTAGCTTTGTTTCAGAGATAATTTACAAAATTATGTAACTTAGTTTGTCATCTTAATCTGATGTTAGCCGTCAAAGGAATGCCACATATTTTTGGGTCATTTTCTTTCTTATCCTTTTAAAAAATTATCAGCACCTAGCTTCCTTACCATCTTTTCAATTAGTCAGGGTTAGGCCCAGCTTTGCTGTTTAACAAATGTGTCCTGAAATTTCAGTTGCTTAACATAAGTAGAAGTTTATTTCTTGCCTACCTCACAGTCTAATTCAGTCAGGCAATTTTCTTATAAAGCTCTTTCCAACATGAATACTGATTTCATTTCCAGTGTGACATATTTGAAGTCACCAGGAGTCACATAAAGTTGTGTGACTGAGAAGCCATGTGACTCTGCAGCATCTTTCAACATCTGTGCCTGCCATGTCAGAGGTAGAGCTAGAGAGTGCACTGCAGAGAAGAAACAGGCAGCTTTGCCTCTTAGCAGGAAAAGCATAGTGCTGGGGTGGCTGCTGTGACAGGGCTGACAGGGGCGCAGGGCTAGAGGTAGAAGGAAGTCAGGAGAGTTGGGAGAAAATAGAGACTGAAAAGGGAGTGTTATAAGGCATGAGGACCCTTCCGAGCCCCTGGTGAAATAGCACATCAAAAAGTAAAGGTGCACTGGTCCACTTGCGGCAGGGAAGTGAAAAGGTGTTTGGAAAGAACACAATTTCCCCACTGATAGCTTCGATCAACTGGGAGGACCCACCACCAGGTAGGTGGTCTTCTCGGTCTCAGATATAAACAGTAGTATTTTTGTTAGGAAGTGACATTTGCTGATAAGTGTGGAAACATAAAAGCTCAGGGAAATAAAACATGAAGACATGTTTTTGCAAGTGCTTCCATCAGAAATCTTGTCATAGGTCTAAGCTGGAAATCTCATTCAGGTTTACCTCCAAATTGAGTAGTTTAGTTTAAACTTATACTCACTTCTTGGTTTTATAAGCATTTGGAACAAACAGTATAGAGTCTCATTTTATTTTAAAACTACAAATGCATTTCTTTTTTTTTTTTTTTTTTTTTTTTTTTTTTTTTTTTTTTTTTTTTTTGCGGAACCGGGGATTGAACTCAGATTCTTGCGTTTGCCAGTCAAGCGCTTATCCTACTGAGCCACCTCCCCGGCCCCTACAAATGCATTTCTAACTTTCTGGATGTTGATTTGTAGGTTTTTTCTCAAAACTATTTTTCCCCGGGTTTATCCCACTTATTCTTCCTCACAAACAAGACCTGAAGTGTGTAGGTTTCCCCAGTGGTTCCCCCTAGGCCTGATTAACATCTTAATTTCCTTCTTTAATAAAAATTTCAATCAGGAGCCACTTAATATTCATGGTGGAAATTTTAAGTATTAAAACAGGGGTATAAGTGAAGCTGTGCAAAATGCACAGGTGAGGCACCCAGCACTGTGTTAGGAAGAGGACAGAAAGATTTTGTTTTCATGTCTGCTTTCCAGGGACTACGGACCTGCACAGGACTCCTACTTGGGGTGCCTGATATGCAGTTACATTCCTTAACATAAAAGGCTCAGCCTCAGAGCAAGCAGAGAGAGAGTTCTGGGCACTGAATTAATGAGCTAGACCCTCAGGGGACCATTTCTTCTTTACAGGCAAGGCCACGGAAAAGAGAGAGGCCAGGAGTGCTGCAAGGAAACATAGTGGCAGAGGCCACAGACAAGTGAAACTCCAGTGGCCAGAGGGTGATTCCAAATACTTTGAAGTCGTTAAATTCTTGATGAGAACCCATGTTTATTAGAAATATGAACTTAATGGATGCACAATTTCTTTGTAAATGACTACATACTTGCTACACTCAGATTTGTGTGTGTGTGAGAAGGTTTGGTGTTGTGTTTACATTTTTCCTATGACCCGCCTCTCTAGCTACACCAGGTAAGTGATCTTGATTCCAGATACTTGACCAAACAAATGCACCTCACCTTTGCCAGATGTAAGAACCTGATATTTATAAGAGGGTGAAATGGAGGAAAATTAGTTTGAGTAGCCAGGTCTTCTTGCCATCATTGTCTAGAAATTCTTTTTCTACTTTTGTAAATCCAGCCAGTTCATGCAGAGATTTTCTAGAGGCTTACTATACTGTTACTGAAAAGTGTTGCTCAGCAGGCATCTGTTATATCAGCATGTTTCCCACAAACTACCCTGAGAAGTCTAGGCTGAGGGAAGAGAAAATAATTGCTCTGAATTGGGTGCTGATCCCTAATTTCACTAATGCATGAAAGGTATGAATGTAGAAGTTTCTGTGGTCCAAGCAAGTCTATTGTGCTTAGAGCAAAAACAGCCTACTGTAATTTTTTTTTTTGGCAGGACCAGGGATTGAACTCAGGCCCTTGTGCTTGCCAAGGAAGCACTTATTCTACTGAGCCATCTCCCCAGCCCACCCTACTGTAAATTAATGCTTTCAATACACAAGCAGCCCAAAGACGAGGTTCTTCAAACTGTAATTCATGACAAAGTCTGGTATGAGCAGGGAGCCTCTCATTAGTCCTACCTCTTGGTTACAGTAAGAAGCAGAGAGCAGGATATTCAGAGTGTGTACTTCCTAAGAGCAAAAGAATACCAGTGTTAGGAAGGGAAATATGGAGTGTTTGTGGTGGAATCTAAAAATACACGGCATAACTCTCCTCATTAAAAGCACATCGGTTTCATTGATTAAATTCTGTAATAGCATTAAACAGAAAAGGTTAATGTACTTCCTCATAAGCTTTTTAAATGATTGTGTTGAAGATAATCACCATGTCCATGAGCTAGAAATAATGTCTGAGTCTTGTGGCAAACTACACATAAATTAACATCTTCCTGTGTTGCAGGTGGCTGAGCTTGTAACCAGTGAGTTCTTTGAACAAGGAGATCGAGAGAGATCAGAGCTCAAACTCACTCCTTCAGTAAGTTCACCCTGTCATTATTAGGAATTTATCTTTAGAATGACATTTTTCCATTGTTTTTTGTTTGTTTGTCTGTTTGTTTGTTTGCGGAACCAGGGATTGAACTCAGGCCCTTGCGCTTGCCAGGGAAGCGCTTATTCCACTGAGCCATCTCCCTGGCCCCAAAAATCCTTATCCATTGTTTTTTGGTTTTTTCTTAGAATGACATTTTTAAAAACCTCAAAATCACAATTTGAAAATGGGAAAGACTGGCAACAGATTTAAGGAAGAACTCCCCAAAGTTTAAACCTTTAATTAAACATACATACTAAATACCCTTCTACCAATACTCCGATTCCCAGGTTTCTGATTAAGAGCAGTAAGCTACTTAACAAGCGCTTCCTGAGCACCCACCATGGGACAAGTAGGCACAGGGGAGAGCACGCAGAGTGGAATCAGGATGGTTCACAGCTCAGTACCAGCGTGTCATATACGCCTGCTTTGGATTAGAAATATGGCAAAACTTTAAGGGCACAATGTCCACCCCTGAAGAGCTAGGGTTGATTTGCATTTCAAACTTACAAAATCCCAAAAGCAAATCATTTCAAACCTGTTTCTTTGTTTGTAAAATGGAAAGTTTCACCTAGGGAACTAAGTTCTGCCCATTGGTATGCTGTTTATGTGGGACTCACACATTCAATTATTTTTTTATTAATTTTACTGAGAAACAAATAGCAATGAGAGTTTCAAAACAGGTTAGTAGGACAGTTTCAATAATTAATACATTGCATATTGTTGTCTTCATAGTGGTTATTCATAGTACAAGATGTAAACATGATAGCCTGTCCAAACACTATTAGTACAAATTTTTCTTCTCATTGAATGAAGAGAAAGTAGCTATATATCTATCCTAACTATTTTGTATATACAGATACAAAACGGTCCTTCATTTATATCCCCTTCTTTAGTTTTGTCAGAGATGGGTATTCCATTGCCATTTAAATATTGTAGGTGCGTGAATTCAGCAAAATAATCCAATCAGTTATTATTTGGGAATGCTTGCCATAGGCTTGGGCTGCTGCTGTCCCTGCGCATCAGGACACAGAAGACATGGAGGCTTCAGTCAGCGCCCTCAGGGAGGGGGCAGCCTCTTTATTCTTAGTGAGTGATTAGCTAAAACTCTGGTCTGAAAGTGGTACAGAGTAGGGAAAGCCTGTTAGCACAGCAGAGTAGGCTCCGGGAAGCTCAAGGAATGCATCAGTTGTCAAGAATGCCTGTCCTTAAGGGTTCAGATCAACCAAGCCTTGCGCATTTGGAGCTATTTGGGTTTTGTTTTGTTTTGCAGAACTGGGGATTGAACTCAGGCCCTTGTGCTTGCCAGGGAAGTGCTTATTCTACTGAGTCATCTCCCTGGCCCCATTTGGAGCTATTTGTAAAATCTCTGCATTTTAAGGCACTCTCCCTTGTTGGCATTTAAAAGCAAGAGAAGGCAACAGAGCCATCTCCTAGCTTGATAGTTTCACCCATTTGAAGTTTGAACTCTTGGGGCTGGGGAGATGGCTCAGTGGAATAAGTGCTTCCCTGGCAAGCACAAGGGCCTGAGTTCAATCCCTGGTTCTGCAAAAAAAAAAAAAAAAATGAAGTTAGAACTCTCAACCCTACTCATTTTGACTATTTTTAAAAGTTGCTAACCCAGAAAAGGTCCAAAGATTATATCAATTGAACCACACATCAATTATTTTAGTTTTCAAAGAAACATCTTTTTATGCAGTGCTCAAAACATGCTTTATTCTTTTTGATGTTTTCAGCAAATTTGGTTCTAAAAATAAAGATACTAGATTATGATACTTGTAATTCATGTGTAAAACCTAGGACATACCTACTATATATATATATATATATATATATATATATATATATATATATTCCTTCCTTTTAAAATGTGTTTCAAAGACATACCCTGGAGGGCTTACAGTGCAGCCAGGCCACAGGTAACTTCATTGAATGAAAATACAAGTAACTGGCCAGGGCTGGTGAGCAGGCAGGTGCAGCAGTGCCCTGCTAAGGAGCTTTCATCTGTAGACTCAGATGAGGCATTTTCTGAAGATGTAAATTAAATTAATTTTGTGGTGGGAAAACAGCTTTAAATGCCACTCTTTGCTTATAAAAGGCTACTTAAGATAGCTGATGACCTGCCGTGGGAGGCAGGATGTACCTCATCTGTCCTTTTCCAGAAAGCTTTGGAAGAGTAGGCAACCGGAGCTAACACCTGCTGTGTTTACTACCCCTTTATTTTTAGGAGGAAAATTGTCCCAAAGCCCCATCAGATGCTGTGATCCTAGAGATCAAAGGCTAGTCTGGACCATCACCAGAGGACTGATATCAGAAGCAGCAATTCAGTAAAATATGCTGCAGCACCCCACGTGTCAAGTGTGACATTGGGCAGTATATTAAGAAATGGACAACACTGTATTTTCCCTACACTTTGGGACCTTGACAGCTGGTGGGGAAAGTAGACTAAGTAAATAATGATTAATACTGGATTACAAGATGCAAAAAGTTATAAAGGAAAAGCACAGGACAGGGTGATGTTTGCTTGTCTCTCACCGAGCATTTATTAAGAAGTTCAGAAATAAAATTATGGTCAACTGACTTCAACATGAGTGTCAAGACAGGGAAGTCAGGGGAACTTCTCAATGTGTAGCTCAGAAACAGCAGGCTATTCAAGGGCAAAAACAATGAGGTTGGTTTATTGTACCCCAAATAAACTCAAACTGGATCATAGACCTAAGTGTAACAACTAAAGCAATAAGACCCTTCAAAGAAAATACAGGGCAACTCTCTAGGCTTGTTTTATCCGTTGTATCTTAGACATGGTGCCAGATGTACAAGAGATAAATGATCAAATGGCCCAGAGATGTTATTGAGTCAAATTAGACTTCATCAAAATGAAATTGGACTTTATCAAAATGAAAAGAAAATTAAAGGAATTGAAAGAACAGTCTACAGAAGGGAGGACCAACTAGAATGCCAAAATGATACGGATGCCACACTTTATGTAGCAGAAAGACACAACCTACTCTAAGATAATAAGGCAAGGCAAGCCATGAGCAGGTTCTGCATTCTTCCAGATTGACAAGGCCTAAGGTAGTTCCTCAGGGCCTGGCCTCACTTTCTCAGCACACAGGGACTTTCCCTCTGCAGTGCAATTGGCTGCATTTGTGCAAGCCATCTATGTGCACTTTCTAGTTCCAACTGATGGTTTTCTCTGTCAAGTCTACCCAGCACAAATACATCACTTCTTTTTCTCAAAAATATACCTAAAATATTTCAGACATAACATCACAAACTTTATTTTTTTATTTTTTTAACATCATAAATTTTAAAGATTGAGAATGAAGGAGTGGCTCCTACCATTACTCATCTAATGATGGATAAATATTTGGGAATTTATTAATAACAGACTCGTTGAAAAATACATGCAAGAACTAAACTAACATTGCACCCTAAAACTTAATAACATGGTTTCAAATTTAAATTTTAAAATTTAAAGAATTTGTTCCCAATCTAACCCATTCTACCCCATTCTCTCACTATAGAAATAAAAGTCTGTATTATTTTTGTGGTGAAAAAATATTCCTCATTCTCCTTGACTTGTACCCAATTTCCAGTGACCTGATGACTTGATTTAGTAGCATTTACCTGAATCTAAAGACAGATTTTGGCCCCGAGGTGTTGTGTACTATAAAGTTCAAATAAATTCACCTACAAATCTCATAAAAACAGGAATACTTTATTTTTCATCTTAGATAAAAAGAAAAGAAAGTCATGTAAAGACTGATTGTGATTTGTGGAGTATTCACTTGGTAAAAATTGGACCACTGTGGCAAAGTGTTTGAATAGCACCTGTAAAATACTCCAGGGTGATAAAGTACGATTGTCCTTCTGCTTTCTAGGCTATTTTTGATCGGAACCGGAAAGATGAATTACCTCGGCTGCAGTTGGAGTGGATTGATAGCATCTGCATGCCTTTGTATCAGGTAATTGCTTATTTGGGAGCATCTGCACGTCCTGACTGAGCCAGAAAAGGAACAGCCTGTAAGGCTTTTCGAAAGCACTGGTTTTCAGAGATCTAGAGAATAGACATATGATGCTTAGATCCTGGCTGCATTTTGTCTTCTTTGAAGTGCTGACCCGAGTTGGAAACTAGAGACCTGAGTTCTCAACTGCTGCATAGGATGCACTCTCCATGGCCTAGTCTACCTCATATCAGAAATAATGAGGTCATCCTAGTATTTCCCAAATTGTGCCTTATGGAACACAAGTAGAGTCTAATACCCTATTCTCTTCAAAAACAGATCTCAGACCTAATAACTAAAATATTAAAATTTTGAAAGCTCAAAGATGTCATGCAGAAATTTACTGGACCATAACTCTGAATTTCTCAAACATGTTTGACCATAGAAATCTTCTTTAAATATTTATGATTTTATTATTTTTATTAATACCATGTGAGACATGAGGGCTCCATGAAGCTTGATTCCCTGCCCTGACCCCATGGCCTGGGCCAGGAGACTGACAGAAGCACTGTCTATGTGCAAAATTTGCCTCTTTCTGAGATGCATGTGGTGTTGTTCGACCATTGAATTATGAGCAAGGTATCCTAATGACTTCTAGCTCTGCTGCCTGGCATGCAGAACCTGCTCCTGGCAAGGAGACCAGTGTCAGCTTTGATGGTTCACACTCTACTTTTTGAGTACAGATTAGGGCTGGTATAACACTTAACAGTTTAGTGTGCATTGGCTCTTAATTCTGCTTCTAAGCACTTGCTTTCATTTGTAAAACCTGGTGAGTTCCTTACCCCCGACCTAGCTCAATCAGGCTGAGCTGCTTTTCTAACTTCAAAGGGAGAAGCGTGTAGGGAAAGCAAAATCTCTTTAGCTTCTCAGTCTGTATAACTCCATTAAGAGCACAGTATTGTTTTTTAAGGACCTCACAACCATTAAGTTTCAACTTAACGTATCTACTGCTTCATTTTCAGTACTGTTAGGAACTGCTGAGCCCTGTCACAGTACCCTGAAAACAAACAAGCAAATTAGAATATTGTCTTGAAGAAGAAAATGTAATTTTTAGTTACCATAAATAACAAAAGTAAATTCATTTTTTGTTTTATATGATCCATTAAATCCCTGATACATAAAATCAGCCAAATATAGTTTTTGAATCATCTAAGATAAATTATTTTAGTTCTAAATGATCATAATGTTCTTTTATTTAATAATGAAATATGAGCAAAAACTCAAGAATGATATATGCTTTATTACAACGGGATCATCAACTCTGTCTTCTGTTTGCTTTTCACCCCCCCTTGATGCTGCTAAAGAAGCTGGGCTCCATGGGCGAAGCCCACAGCTGCTGGGTCAGCTGTCTTGCTTGTAAATTGACCTTGACTACCCACAATGGATCATTTTTTAATGTTATTCCATTTCCTGTGCAAACTTAGGCAATAAATGGAAGAGTACATTATTCTGGCAGTAACTTCTTTTACTGGGAGTACAGCTTATAACTATGGAGTCTTGTATTTGTGGGGCTATTTAATATGGGATACTACTTGCAGAGCCCTATTGAAGTGAACTAAAATATCCACACTCTTCTTATGTGACTTGTTATTGTAAATGCCATAAAGGGTCCTCATGAACTTTGAATACCGATTTGTTTCATTACCAACTCACAACTATTTGGGCTTATCATATACTTCCTATGACATGCTTTGAAACCTTCAGGTTAAAAAAGAAGTTACTGGAAGTTAAACTGAAAATATCAAGGACTAATATTACTTTGCAATATTACATACCAGCCTGATTTTTAATATTTTACTCTAAATATACCTGCTATTTTGATCCCTAGAAAATTAACAGAGAAAGGCTAAGGCAGGTGATAGGTGATGCTCCTGCCAAATTAGAGCTGTGTTCTGCTCATCCATGACCTTGGTTTTGGTATAGTGGCCTTTTGACCTCTTCCCTCCAATTTTGGTGGCCATTTCTCCCACTGTTTTTCATCCCTGGGAAGAAATGTGTCATCCTCAAGGGACCCATGGAAAGATCTGTTTGCACATGTTCATAGTCATACTTACTGCTGGTATCATCCCATTTAACAAAGGACAAAGCCTTGCCTTTTTAAAATTTATCACCACTGAATTTTTAATTTCCTTGTTTCATCTGTAAATTTTTTACAAGGCTTTGAAATCCATGTTTGAAAGCATACACAAAATGGAACTGTGGTACGAGTTTAGATTGTCTCTTTATGGCCTATCTTGTTCCATCTCGTGCTATGGGGTTTTTCTTCCACCTATTTAATCAAATAATCTTCCAGCAATTGTTGAAGTGGCATCAGTCCCTGGGCAAGAATCACCAATAAGGGGAAGAGCCAATCTTGAGGAAATGACAAGCAAGAAATGTCAAGGTCAGTTTACAAAGATGAGGACAGAATACTAGTCACTAAAGCAAGTATCTGAGGCAGCTGTGGTTGCTGCTTAAAGGCCAGTTTGGGGTTTTGAATTCACCGGTGCAATAACAAGGAGGCCACACATAGGGAAGTATATAGATAGTAGGAATCCCTGCTGTGGGTAGGCTAAGAGGACCCGCTCTGAAGCATAGAGTACAAGAACCCACTTTGGCCTTGCTGAGTTGACCAAGATATATGCCAAAAAGACACATGTGAGACAAAGAATGTGCCCTTTAATAACCAAACCCTGAAACTAAAAGCAGTGCTTATGGATGGCAAAAAAAAACCTCCCAGTGAAGCAAAAGCAGGCACAGGGTCATAGAGACAGTGGTCCTCCCTCCTGTGGGCCAGGCAGGGGTGGAAACTGCAACACTGGAGGCTGCTCTGTGTTGGAGGGGGGCAGATCAGGGAGCCAGGGGAAGCTCAGGGCAACATGTATCTGGGTAAGAGCTACAGATAGGATTCTGCACAGTGTCTAGACTTTGCTTGCACTGAGTAAGTCCGTTTAACGTCACAGTTCTACAACACTTGTGCTTGTCACGCATTCTCATAGATCACATACTTGCTGTGTGTGCTCCTGCTTGCTCAGTTTTGTTCCTCTTTGAGGCCAGAGTGAAATGGCCACGAAGGGCCCCTCATTCTTATGCCTGAGAAGAAACCCATACCAGTGTGTTTGGATAACCACTGCATGTAAAATCGTAGCTCTTCTCTGGGAATTGGGATAGCCTCAATTCCCAGTCAACTTGAGATACACAGGGGACAGAAGAGGAATTTCCGTCCTCTAATATCTATTCACTAGGAAATCACTAAAGTAATCAAGAGATTGACTGAAAGCAGCTAAAATACAGTATATGAAAACATAAATGATGTGTGGGCCCTTTACCAAGGCCCACACACGGATTGAAAACACGTTGATTGATTCCATCCTGTGTGAAGAAAGAGGACAAGCACTTGAAGTGTTGCCTTAGCTCGCTCAGCGGACCGCGGACCACGTGGGAAGACCACGTGCAGAGAACGCTCCAGCCCTGTGCATGGTCACAGGGCACGGGGAGACCAGACATATCTGCACACAGGAGCTTATGTGAGTAAGCAGTCCCAGAACTTCATCTTTTTAACCTGATGCTTCCAAACTTTTCTTTAAAAAGAAAAACAAAACACAAGGCTCTGGGAAATAGAGGAAGGAAGAAAGGAAATAGCCCCAACAGGCAGAAGTCATGATTTATCTGTGACAGCATTTTAATCAGGAAGCATAGAAAGCAGGGGTGGGCAGGGAACCAGCAAAGTGTGTTCCCCCAGAGAAGCCTAAAGCCTGGTTAGTTAGCGCTGTCCTGGCAGGGTGTCTCCGAGGAATACATTGACATCTGATTCCCATGCTTTCCGCTGTCTTTGCACCCTGCTGGGGAGCCATTAGCCTGCTGCTCAACATCTTTGAGGGGAAAAAAAAAAACAAAAAAGAAGAAGGAAAAAAAAAAACCCATCAAACTTTGAAGTTGTTGCTGCACCAGCCTTAGGGATAAACAGAAACCCTGATGTCACAATATCATTCTGAGCTTCTCTTCCCAGGAACAAACCAAGTTTTTGCTCCTTATTTTCATTCTCAACTTAAACTTCTGTGTACCTAGAACTACAGTGATGCATAAAGACATTACAAACCTTCTGTTTATTAAGGATTGAGGGCTTTTTATGTTATGAGCTTAATGGGATATTTAGCTCATCCCAATCAGTTTGTGATTTTGAGATGGCTTTTCTCAGAGGTAATGCAAAAAGCCTTGAACTGAGCTGCATCTATCAGGATCATTCTCTCTCTCCATGAAGAGAAATAAAATTTCTGAAGAGTAGTGTGACTCCATGTCACAGGGTTTCAGCAACAGGCAGTGCTTATAATGGTAAGATGACAATAACTTTTCATTCTTTCTAGCTCTAGTAGTCGGGATCCCTTTGAAAATCACATTCTACCTGAGGTAGGCATTAATATGCTTTCTGAAAAAGCAGGGAAAAGTATCCTTATAATATACTTGAAAACATAGAAACTGAGAGTTAGAAATAGGAAATTGGAATAGAGGGTCTAAGTGCTACTGTAGAACAGTTTCTTTGGACACTGATACAAGTGCTTTAGAAACAGTTCAGCGTTCCCCAGATGGTTCATGGCTTGTGTCTGACTTTAAAAGAAAAAAAAGCAAGGATAGAGGGGGAGAGGGGATGGAGGAGGAGGGAAAGCAGCTGCAGAGTGACCAGTTAGAGCATAAGAATCCTCTCCTCCTAAGAGCCTACAAGGAAAGGAATGTGGGCAAGAAGAAAAACAACTTCATGGAATTTTTTTTTTTAATTTTATTTGTGTGTGTGTGTGTGTGTGTGTGTGTGTGGCCAGCTCAGCCCACCAGAGGGCGGGGCTGGCTGGCATGTTGTGCTGGGGGATTGAACTGCAGTCCCTGTGCTTTGCTAAGCTTGTTCTAAGTAGGTGCTTTAGACCACTGAGCCATCTCACCAGCCCATGGAATATTTTTTAAAGAAAAAGGACAGCACTCAAATGAGCTTC